TGTAAAGAGTGAAAAATAAAGGGTTTCGTATACCCTTCCTGTGTATCTTGTCTACTTCCCACATTTATTGAACATAGCTTTAGTAAGCTCCCTGTTCCGAGTCAGGTCTTTGCATGTTCCCAAAGAAAGTAAGGAGAAAACACTGAACCTGATAGGTGTAAATACTGAAATCGACACGATTGCCATAGTACCTTCAGCACCTTTCCCAGCATCAACTGCCCTTACTTACGCACAAGTAGCGAAGCCCATAGCCAAGCAAACACTCCTGACCTATCCCAAAGAGGACACCATCAGCTCTAGGAAGGAGCTAAAAGAAAAATTAAGCGCGGAATTTCCCCTCTCCCAACTGGGAGTAAAGGTCTCCTCTGTAAGATCCATTTCAAAAGAAGGACTAGCGGTTGATTGTCACTCCAAAGAAGATCTCACCAAGCTCGTGAGCTCCCTCCAAAGTAAAAAGGCCTCTGAAATATTTAAGACAAGGTTACCTAGCACAAGACTCCCCAGAGTCGCTGTGCATAGCGTCTCTCCGGACATAACAAAAGAGGACTTAGAGAAAGTCCTAGGGTCCGAATTCCATCTTTCCAAACAACAGGCAAAGGTCCTATATCGCCTACAGGAAAAATCCAATGGCGTCAAATGAGTTATCGAATGCAGCCCAGCGGCCTTCGTACAACTCATGCAGTCTTCAAGAATCTTCATTGGCTGGCGAGAGCATCGGATTGCAGAGTTCTTTAACACAAGACGCTGCTTCCGATGTTAAAAATTCGGCCATACGCAACAGGAGTGCAGGGACAAGATGTACTGCGGCTACTGTTCAGGAAGTCACCTCACAAGAAACTGCACAGCAAGAGCCCCCACCTGCATCAACTGTGCAGATTTTAACCATCGTACCAACGGCAGACTGTACAGTGGACACCCAGCCTACGACACAAAATGTCCTACATATGCCAAATGCGTTGAGCGTATCAGGCGCAGCACGACCTACGTCCAACCAGATTAAATTTACGGCAGATTTACGACAGATGTCTACCCAGATTGAATTTGAAGATGAGCCACTGCCTCCAACAAGCACCAGTGCACATCATGGGCTGATCGTTTCCTCTTCAGTTAATGTACCTCCTACACAACAAGTCTCTATCAAATGTGTCCAAATTAACCTCCAAAGGACGGAGGCTGCTACCGCAAAAGTCATACAACATGCCATAGATCACAATATAGATTTTTGTCTCATACAAGAGCCCTACACTATGAAAGGTCGTATAGCTGCACTTCCTTATGCGTTTTATTATGATAAAACTATATTAAGAAACAATATTTCGGACTTATTTAACTATGATGAAATCCCAGTTTTTGCTGACTCATTTTCTGTCTTTAATTTACATCTGATCCATCCGGCAAACCGTATTTCTATCAATTATAATATTTATGATCCTTGTTTAACGGAATACCAAATTTTTTCTGAGGGCGGGGTGGGTTCGGCTTTTGTTGTATATTATTTTGATACTGAGATATATCACTATAAATTGGGCCTTGAAAAATATAACTCTGTTTATCAAGCCGAGCTCATCGCCGTCCTTTATGCCCTTAAATGTATATTGAAAAGTAATTTTGCAAGAAATTCTAACTTCTATATTTTTACAGATTGCATGCCTTGTTTAAATGCACTTTATAATGCAGAAAATAATAATGGTCTGATTATCGATATTAAAGACCTTTACCAAAAACTATCCTTATCCTTTAATATTAAGTTTGGTTGGGTTAAAGCCCATATCGGAATATACGGTAATGAGAGAGCGGATGTGCTCGCAAAAGGGGCTGCCATAGGGAGTGTTTCGGGGACGCCCTATGTTCAGGGTTAAAAAAAATAAGTTATTTATTCGTATTATTTTAAGCAATGGCAGTTACAATGGAATTCTTCTTAAAGGAAAAGTCGCTATTTGAAACATTTAAAACTGATTAGGAAAAAAAAATTATCTTTAATGATTTTGAAGTTAACCAGTTTCTGACCGGACATGGGCGTTTCAAGGGATACTTCGCTAGGTTTAAGATACAGAACGACGATAAATGTAAACTATGTGATCTGTTTGGTGACGCTAAGCATTTCCTCGAGGTCTGTCCCTACTTTGATGGCTTAAGAAACAATAAAAATATTGATTTTGAAAATCCCTTTTTATGCTATAAAGATTTCGCACAATTATGTAAATCTGTGATGAAATTTATTGACGGTGAGTGCCGGGCAGTGGGAATCAGTGTATGATATTTGCATTTTATTGCCATCACTATTTGGTATATTTTAATAATTTGTTGTTACCATTGTTTGTGTTTGTTACTCGCTTTTTGTTTTTGTCTTTAGTGTCTGCTCTTGTCTAAATGTTTGTATTTGATGCCACTCTCCCAAAGGATCAACAACCTGCACTTCCTTATGCATGGAAAATCTTTAAACTCTGCAGCACTGGAAGAGATCAAGCCCCACGTGCTGCCATTGTCTGCTGTAATCCTCTCTGGACGCCACAAGTGGTTCATCTGCATCGAGGCTATGTAGTCATCCTGGTTATCTTCAATAACTCTCAATTCCTGCTCACTTCACTGTATTCGTCACCACAAGAAGACATTCCCTAAACTCCCTCAAATAATATGTGGCGATTTTAACGCCCATAATGTCAACTGGGGCTACTCCACCACAAACCCAAAAGGGCAGCACCTAGAAGACTTTCTTGCAACCAATCATTTGCATCTGCACAATACTCCCAATGCCCCACCAACATTCGATAATTCATATAATATCGGGTGGCCAGACCTTACCATCTCCACCGAAGACATGAGCAATTACTTGCAATTCTGGTCAGTTTTAAATGAAGAAAGCTGCTCTGACCACAATTACATCCCACTTTGAAATTAATTTGGATACCACTATCTCAATCATAAGACGGTTTAAACTTCCAGCATGCAAGATCCGTACTCTCTCGCGAGTTTTTTGCTAATCGCCCTTACTCAGGAAGAACAACGCTTACAGCAATGCAATACCCCAGATGATCTGGAAACCTTCACGGAGCAACTGCTGGATCATTTGCACCATGACTGCCAGCAAATCCTGCCTTTTCGCACAGCGAAAAAAATACAGGGCATTTCATGGTGGAACAGGAGCCTTCGCCAACAGAGGCAAAAATGTAGAGCTCTTCGCCGACGCCTTCGCACTAACCTTGACGAAAAAACAACAGAGCTCACACTCTTGCAGCATACAGAAGGGAACGTGCAAATTATAAACGGAGTATTCTGCAAGCGAAAGTATCCAGCTGGAGGGCTTTTTGTACCAGCAACAATAACCCATTTGGCATTTTGCACAAAATCGCAACCCAGAAGGTATTCCAACCGGCTCAAATTCATGCTGTCCCTTCACCACAAAGCGCATCGGACAACCTTGCAGCAGATACTGATCGTGCTCTTCTGGATGCCATTTTTATAGCCGCCGACTGCCCGGAAGATGACACACCAGAGCAGCGGCCCATGCGCAATGACGAAAGCGTCCCAGACACCTCTTATGACGACCTTTTTAACAACAGAGAAGTGCAACAAATCTTTAAACACCTGCCTGTCAAAAAGGCCCCGGACCAGACGGCCTTGATTACGCACTCAATAAAGTGGCTTACAAAGCTCGACCCGGTTTTTTCACCCTTCTTTTCAACAAGCTCTTGCAGGCGGAAATCTTCCGCGCAGTCTTCAAAAAGGGACAGGTTGTCCTGTTCCTTAAAAAGAACAAGGACCCGGCCAACCCCAGATCTTACCGGCCAATCTGCCTATTGTCATCCTTAGGAAAAATTTATGAGAAGCTGCTGATCAACCGCCTTAGCCACCATTTACATCGCAACCACTACCTGAGTCACCGTCAGTTTGGATTTCGCGCAGGCTACTCTACAACGCATGCACTGCACACCATCCTTGAATGTGTTCAGAACAATAGATCTCTTAAGCTTCATACGGCATTTATTTCAATAGACTTGGAGAGTGCCTTTGACACCCTCTGGTGGCCTGCAATTAAGCAGGCCCTCAGAGATGTCAAATGCCCTGCGAACATCTATAAAGTTCTCAACAACTATCTGCACACGACCGGACCCTGCTAATCTCCAACAACAATGGTATCACTACAAAGTCGCAAGTTAGAGAGGCTGCCCTCAGGGCTCTTGTGCTGGACCATCGTTATGGAACCTAACATTTAATGCTGTTTTAAACACCACCTGGCCGCTGCACACTACTATAGTGGCTTATGCTGACGACGCAGCTCTTATTGTTCAAGGCCGGACCCGCGACGAACTGGAAAGGCATGGTACGGAAGTCTGCCAAATCTTCACCGACCTTTGCCAGAAGCTCAGACTAAATGTATCCTACGATAAGACATCAGCCCTCATAATTCCCAGACCTGGAGTTAATCCCACCAGACGCAGCCTGTATTAAATTAGGTGAAAGAGAAATATCAAGATCGCGCGCAGCCTCAAGTACCTCTGTCTCACCTGGGACCCGGGGTTAACGTGGATACCGCACACCTTCAAGAAATCCGGCGCCGCACAACGGCTATAGCCACAAAGACCAGGCAATTTCAAGGTCATAATTGGGGCCAGAATGCTCATATTTTGAAGATACTCTACGGTTGCTGAGAGAGTTGCCCTTTACGCTGCTGCCATCTGGGCCACCCACCCTATGGGGGCAAAAAAAAAATCAGGCAACTTTCTGCCATACAACGACCTTTCGCGCTCAACATCTGTAGAGCATACCGGACTACAGCAACGAGTTCTGCATTGATCCTGGCAGGCCTTCTACCCCTACATATCAAGGCACAGGCAGAAGCCGCCTACACTAGGCTAATTCACTTACGACGGGACGCCACCTTGAATGGCAGGACTCTCTGTCCGATCACTTTTGAACACCCTGGAGATGTCCTTCAAACACACCCAGCCCTTAAAGGCAAGGGAGTTCGAGTGACTATTTCTACAGAGCCTCCAGCAAACATGGCTAATGACAACAACAAAGCCTATATTTTCACTGATGGCTCCAAGTTCGAAAATGGAGTCGGATGCGCTTTTGTGCAATTTGAGAATCACATTACGACTCATGAATGGAAGGGCCACCTAGCTGACTCCAACAGCGTCTTCCAGGCAGAAGCGCTCGCTCTCACAGCAGCAGTTCAGCATATAATAGAAGACACCGGTATTAATAATGCAACCATCTTCTCGGATAGCGCATCTACATTGTACGCCATCCAGAACCATATGCACACGTCGCAAATTATTATGAATTTGCAACAGATGCTAAGGCTCAACAGCTCCCGCGAGATCTCCATAAAATGGGTCAAAGCCCACGCAGGCATCCTTGGTAACGAGGCAGCAGACCAGCTTGCGAAGGAGGCAGCTAACAACATTGCAGCGCAAGAGCTGTACGTTCCATCGCCTCCCTCTTACCTCAAACGTCTACAAGGATGAAGCTGCCCGCATATGGCAATCAGAGTGGGACCAAAGGCTTTATAGAATTTGCAAAACACGTTAATCAGGGCATACCAGTTGCTGATGACAATGACATTACAATACAATACCATACATTACAGTTGATGGTGAAATTATAAATATAAAATATGTACCACAAATAAACAAAAAGAAATGATGGAAAACATTAAAGTATTATCTTGGCTAAGTTATTGTGATATAATGTGATGTTATTGGGACAGTGTAGCAGTTCATAGATGTTCACAGTTCATGACAGTTCATGATTGGGTCAGAGTTCATACATACAGAGTTCACCAGTTCCTGTTATGCCATTTTTAATGTGCATAACTGTGGTCGTATTGTCTAGGTGCTAAATCTGTACTGACCTTGATATACTAAGATAAACTATTGCAATGACTATAAAGGCACCTCCATTGGGAAAACTGGCGGTTCATACCAGAGAAGAAGAAGCACTTAAACACCGTTATGGAGCACACAGTTCCAAGCCAGGACGGTGGAGTGTGTCAATTATGTTTTTGATACTACTGTGGATTTTTCGGTTGCTTTATCAAGAAAACGTTTGAAGTCTGTTCCTGGTGCTGTGGGATGGAGGATATGATAGTCTTCTGTTATTGGGCATTGAAATAAATAATGGTCTGGATCACCCGGATTGCCACAGACGCATATTTCAGTCTCTGAAAGGTTTCGTTCATAGAAGTACTTTGGGTACGGTCCATCCAGAGATATATTGAGAGAGATAATAATTATAAATAGTGCGCTCAGTATCGACACATGATGGAAGTGAATGCGTTCTTCTGTCTTGCGGTTCTTGGTTCCATTCTTCATCTTGCAATTCTTGTCTCTGCCACTATTCTTTGGCCATCACTTTTAGAGTAAACTTCACTGTGGAGCGTGGCCATGGGATGTGGATGGTAGTGCCTGACTGTTCGAAGGCTGCGTGCTTTAAGTGACACAGGCAGGAGAACTTATATGTTCTTCCCAAAAGTGTCCACTGACCGCACTATAGGAATTGCACCATTGTCACACTACATTTCCGGACATGGCCCTTTCTCTACTTACTTCTGTTGGCACGGAATCTCAACTACAAATGTATGTGTGTGTGGCAACGAAGGCACACCCGACCATTATGTCTACCAATGCCCACTTACGTCGCAGCACCACCTGCCTACACCATCCAGCAATGAAGAGGCATTCTACCGCTTCACTATCAAAAATAAGACTACGACAAATAAAATCTGCCGCATTCTGAAGGCAATAACGGCATTAGGGCAAGACCTTTGTCAGCCTACTTAATATGAAGCCCTCTCTGAGTCTGCAGCCTGCCTCTGCAGTCTGCAGCATGCATTTGTCAGCAACATGTGTTCTTGCATGTCTTGTCAATGTTCTGTTTTCAACAATTCTTCATGTACTTTTTTTTCAGCAATTCATCATGTACTTTAGTCAGCCAATTGCATCATGTGTATCTATGCTTTACTGTGTGTACAATCAGTGTCACGGATGTCATATCTTCAGCCATCTATCATCAACCATATGCTATTATACGTCTTTGTGTGTACCTTGTACCACGGGTGACATATCTTCAGCTATCAATCATCAGCCATGTGCTATTATGCATCGTTAATATCATTAAGTGTACCATACTAATGTTTATCTGCATCATTTAATTGTCTGCATTTTGTCTACACGCAAGTTTTGTTTGTGCACTATTGTCGTTTTAGCATCATGTGGTCAATAAGTACACCACAACATGTATATTTGCATGTCTTATCGTGTGCACTATTAACCGCTCAGTGTACTATTAGTATCTTCGCATCATGTATCACCATTATCACATTACATCGCGTATATATGAACGGACAATGTGGACAATTGTGTGTACTATCAAGTCACGCGTGCCGTATCATCAACTGTATGCTACTATGAGTCTCATAATTTTTATGTGCACCATATTAATGTTTATTTTCTTCATGTGTCTGCATCATTTAATCGTCTGCATCGTTTATATGTGTACTATTTGTCATCGAGTATACGTTCTGCATATATGTGTGTACTGCATCGTACAGTGTGAACTATTAGCACCATTACGTCAAGTACTCTTGTCACTATGCTGTAACACGTATCTTTGTATGCTCACATGTGTGTACTATTACCTGTTATGTGAATTACTAACTTTATTGCATCATGTACTATTACCATTATATTGCATCCTGTATATCATTGTATCATGTACCTTAGTCCTTACTTTGCATCTTGTATATCTACGCGTTTTCTTGTGCGTATACTATTATATTATCATGGCTTCATGAACTACTGTCATCACATTGCTTCACGTATATATGCGTGCCCTTATTGAGTGTCCTCTCAGTATCACACGCGCTGTTTAAATAATTACGTGCTATTATGCGTCTCATAACATCATCAAGTGTTTCGTTTTTATGTGTCCACATTATTAATTGTCTGCATCGTGTTTATCTATGTGTGTTCGGTGTTTATTTAGTTACGTGTATTTTAGTGTATCTTAGTGTACCTTTTTGTGTTTTTAGTGCTTTATGTGTTTCTTCATGTTTTTTCTTTATATGTTTTCCATTTATGTTTTATGTTTATGTCTTATTTTGTTCTACCTCTGTAACCATAACCTTCAGTTGTCTCACGTTCTTACAATGTACTACATGTAGTCTAGCCCTTGTATGGCCATGTTAACTTTTAAGATCCTAATAAACTCCCGGGGCGGCCTCATGGGGCTCCAGGGAGTTGTTGCCTCTACACAGTGGAGGACGCGGGGTATATGCCTGTTTACCTATGTTAGACACCAGGCGCCCCCGTCCTCCGTCAATGGCATGCGTTTGTTGGTAGGGTACGTTTGGGCCATTAGAAACCATATATATTAAAAGAATATTTTGGGGGTAGGACCAACGAGCAAGGCGGACTTGATCAAATCCTTGATGGTTGGAAACTCATTAACGGGTTTAATTGTTGCTTACTTTTGCTTTCTGACATGGAATGCGCTGTCGTGCTCATTGTGCGCAATCTTTACGGGTGGTGGAAGACCAAAACAAACCGAGAAAAATATTAACTTGTTGATGCACGAATGCCGGGGTGAGACAAATGTGCATGTGGAAAAACTTTCTCACGGAATGCCGGAGGAATGTAAGGGCGGGCTGGTACCTGTTGACAAATCACAATATATTGGTAAACTACAATTAGGTAAGGTAACTTTTTTGAGTTGTAGAACTTTGAATCTTTAAGTAAAGTTTGTAAGTCTGGATCAATTTGTTGCATTTTAGCAATTTCCTCATAGTCGATAGGGTTAGGCATGCTTATCGCTTCTATGCGCGAAGTGCGGCGGCGATATTCTCCGAACCTTTATATGGTATTCACTGGGTGAATTGTGAGATAAAGTCTAGCTGCCTAGCCTGACGAGGTGAACACTTATCCACACGCTGTCGGAATGCATACGTCAGCGGTTTGTGATCGGTGATTAAAGAAACGTTCCGTGCTTCCAACCTATGCTTAAAATGCCTAATAGCAGCATAAGCTGCCAATAGCTCCCGATCATACGGACTATAGTTCCTTTCTGCTTGCGAAAGCTTTCGTGAGAAAAATGCAAGCGGTTGTAAATTTCCATCAACTATTTGTGATAGCGTTCCGCCTATAGCGAAGTCTGACGCATCAACCTGTAAAACCAACTGGGCATCTTTCTTCGGGTGTGCTAAAAGAACCGCCTTCGAGAGATAACTGTTTACACTTTTGAAATTCATTACGAGTTTCCTCAGACAAATCAGGGTGTCTTATCATTTTCTTACCCCTTTTAAATACGAAGTTAAATGTATTTGATTCTGGGCTACATTGGGTAAAAATCGACGGTAAAAATTTAAAAATCCTAAAAATCTCTGCAAATCTTTTACCGTTTTAGAAAGTGGGAAGTTAAGTATCGGTTCAACTTTGTTCGTCAGAGGTTCGGTACCATCTTTATTAATTAAATGTCCTAAGAAATATATTTCGGGAACGCCAAAAACACATTTCGAAGCGTTTATTGTCAATCCATATGTAGTTAATCTTAAAAAACAGTACTAAGTGAGTATATCTTTGATCACTAAATATCAAAATATACTAGTAGAATAGGCAATTTAATCTCCAAGAATTCGTTCAAAATTTGAAGGTTTGACTGCTGCACGTCGAAATTTAAAATTTGGGCAGAAATTACCCTAAGCTTAACCCATTAATCGCCAAAACTACAAGGAATGTTTCTTTTCTCATGAAAATAATAACAAATATCAAATTAAGCATTTATAATATAAATTTACATTGAAAATAAAAAAAAAAAAAAAAAAAAATGCTCTCACCTGTGGAAAACGCGAGTGTTGCGTTCGCGCAACGTCAGCGGAATAAGACTACGGATGTTTAGTGAGTAGGATTGTACTCGTGTGATGTTTCTTTTGAGTGGAGCGCAGGATTACATTTTTGATGTATAACGTTTTATAAATCTACCAAATCACTTTACTTTTAATTAATTTAATATTAAAATATACATTGTATTTCTTTTACAAATACAGATTATTTCAATGGAAAGATTCAAGCATGACAAGCTTGATTACAATCATGATGTAAAGCTACATTACATACTTCGCATCTATAAATAGTCTGGCTATGGTACTCTTTACAACAAAGTCTTTTGTTATCAACGGACTTTACGATAAAATGTCTACCATCTCCATACAATGGTTTTTGAATGCTGAATTTACTAGGTCTTCCTGTTGCTGACTTATTTCTGGCTGATTCTACACTCTCAATAGGAGTTTGCAAAAGGAATAATGCATTCTCGCGTCTGAAATCTAAAAGAGACTTTATATTTCCAGTAGTAAAAAGTGGTGATATTTAGTAAGTTTAGATACGGTCTCACCTCATATAATTTATCAGTATTGTCAATTTGACTATTGTCAAATGCAAATTCTGCTTCATATTCCTGTACTGCAAACGTG